GACAGCTGATTTCAACAAGGGAGCCAACAACATACAATGAAGGAAAGTCTCTTCAATATATGGTGTTGGGAAAACTGGACAGCCACATGCAAAAGAATGAAAGTAGACCATTATCTTACACTATACACAAAAATGAACTCAAAATGGGCTAAAGACTTGAATGTAAGATCTGAAACCGTAAAACTTCTACAAGAAAACATAGGTGGGGGGCTGGCCCAGTGGCGCAGTGGTTAAGTGCGCACGTGCCGCTTCGGTGGCCCGGGGTTCGCTGGTTGAGATCCCGGGCACGGACATGGCACCGCTTGGCAAGCCATGCTGTGGTAGGCGTCCCACATACAAAGTGGAGGAAGATGGGCACGGATGTTAGCTCAGGGCCAGCCTTCCTCAGCAAAAAAAAAGAGGAGGATTGGCAGCAGATGTTAGCTCAGGGCTAATCTTCCTCAAAAAAAAACATGAAAGAAAAAAGAAAACATAGGCAGTACTCTCTTCAACACTGGTCTTAGCAGCATATTTTCAAGTGCCATGTCTGACCAGGCAAGGGAAACAATAGAAAAAATAAGCAAATGGGACTACATCAAACTAAAAAGCTTCTGCACAGCAAAGGAAACCATCAACAAAACAAAAAGACAACCTAATAATTGGGAGAAAATATTTGCAAACCATCTATCTGATAAGGGGTTAATATTCAAAATATACAAAGAACTCATACATCTCAACAACAAAAAAACTAACAACTCAATTAAAAAATGGGCAAAAGATCTGAACAGAGATTTTTCTGAAGAAGATATACAGCTGGCCAGCAGGCACATGAAAGATTGTTCAACATCACTAATTATCAGAGAAATGCAAGTCAAAACTACAATGAGATATCACCTCACACCTGTCAGAATAGCTATATTAACAAGAAATAACATGTTGGAGAGGCTGTGAAGAAAAGGGAACTCCCATACACTGCTCGTGGGAGTGCAGACTGGTGAAGCCACTATGGAAAACAATACGGAGATGCCTCAAACAATTAAGAATAGAACTACCATATGATCCAGCTATTCCGCGGCTTTGTATTTATCCAAAGAACGTGAAAACATGAATGCGTAAAGATATATGCACCCCTATGTTCAATGTGGCATTATTCACAATAGCCAAAACTTGGAAGCAACCTAGGTGCCCATCAAGGGACGAACGGATAAAAAAGATGTGGTATATATACACAATGGAATACTACTCAGCCATAAAAAAGGCTGAAATCTTGCCATTTGCAACAACATGGATGGACCTTGAGGGTATTATGATAAGTGGAATAAGTCAGAGGGAGAAAGTCAAATACAGTATAATCTCACTCATAAACAGAAAATAAAAACAACAACAAACACACACATAGAGACAAAGATTGGATTAGTGGTTACCAGAGGGGAAGGGGGGAGGGAGGAGGGCAAAAGGGGTGACTAGGCACATGTGTGTGGTGATGGATGGTAATTAGTCTTTGGGTGGTGAACATGATGTCATCCACACAGAAATTGAAATATAATGCTGTACACCTGAAATTTATATAATGTTGTAAACCAGTGTTACCGCAATATAAAAAAGAGGGCAGAGCTTAAAACCACAGCAACCCCAGGAAAACCAAGGGGCTGTAAAAGGACAGGGGAGTCAGAGGGCACCCCATGGCCCCTCCTGTGTTACTGCCTGGTTAGCACCTGTCCAAGGGCTCTTGTTTTTCGACTTAGAAAAGACTGACTTCAACTTAAAGGCCAGGGCGAGCCAGCTCAGGACAGGGCCTGGAAGCTGCCAGGAGGGGAAGCCCCTGGCTTTGGGAAAGAGCAAGTCTAGGGCGAGGCACCGAATGGCAGGGCAGCCAGAAGAGCCAGTGCAGGCCAGCAGGTCTCAAAGACAGGGGTGGGGGGTGCTGCTGAAGGCTGGTGACGGGGGAGCAGCAGAGGTGGGGAGTGAGGCGACATGCCAGGGCTATGCTGAGGAAAATGTGCTTGTGTAGACAGACTAGAGGGACACCGAGGCAAGGAGATCAGCGGGGAGTCGGGGGCAGTGACACAGGCAAGGACAACCGTGGGTTGAATCAGAGCCCTGGGAAGTGTGGGGCACCAGGCTGTGGAGGGCTCTGGGGCTGGGGGGCCGGGGTGGGTCTCTGTGTCATGGCAGGGGGCCCGGGCTGAGGGGCTCATGCACAGTACACACACAGGCACAGATGCACACCCCAGTCACACACACAGGACATGTGCAGAGGTGGAGCCAGGCACACAGCTCATGTTCATACTAGCGTAATCGGACGCACATACAGCCACAGACATTCAGACCAACACAGATGCACAAGTGCACACTGGGACACACTGACACTTAGATACACATGTAGACAGGCATACACACTTTCTGGCCAAAACAGACTTGTCTGTAGAGATGCACGCGAAGGCCTCCCCTGACCGTGAGTGCAGTCCTGCACACACACACACACATCCACCTGGCACTGGGACCAACCCCCCGGGATGGCAGCTCTGGGCACTCCCATTTGAGGCAGCCTTGACTCGAACTCCAGCACCAGGGCCCGCCTGGGAAAGAGAAACAAACCATGGCCATACCCAACACACCCACCAGCCCAGCCCAGGGTCAGGGAGGAGCCAGGGCCAGGCCTCCCGTGCCTGCCCACGCACTCGCACTCGTTGCCACCAGCGGCAGACACCCAGCCACCTACGCAGACAGCTAGATTGCGAGGGATCTTGCAAAATCGTCCCGTCCCTCAGGGTTCAGCTAAAGTTCCCTCAGGGAACTTCCCCAGGCTCCTGTGGGCACTATTAACTTTCTTTTTGAGTTCTGGTTCTGCCACGCCCAGCTGTGTGACCTTGGGCAAGTCATTTCACCTCCCTGTGCTTCATTTCCCCTGTGTAAAAGGGGGATAATGGGAGTGTGTGTTGAATACGTGAATTAATAGTGTACACCCTTCTCTTTCCTCCCCACACACAGATGTGAAAAGCAGCTCCCCTGTGCTCAGTCAGCCAGCTGCAGATGGGGCTCCCCCGTCCTGCCTCCCACTTGGTCCCTTCCCACTAGTGAGATCCTGGGGGCGGGCGGAACATCGAGAGGGCATGGGTTTATTCTCCCCTCTACACAGCATCAAGAAGCCAGCTTTGGAGCAACTTGGCAAACATGGGACCAGGCGGCCCTGCCTGGCAGGGGTGGGGATGAGGCCTTTAAACCCTGAATTTCTCCTTAAATGTCTTCGAGAAGGACTTAAGAGGTCACTTTCTCTATATGGGCATGAAGATCAGAAAGGATGGAAATGAGCCGTTGACGCTCCCCGCCTGAGGTTTCCTCCTCTCCTATCCCCACCCACCCAGGTCCATATCCTCCCAGGAGATGCCAGAATCCGAGCTGGCGGGCGGAGGGCTGGGAGCATGTTCCCACTGCCTGGTGGGCCATGGCAGGGCCCTCCCCAAGCACAGGCTGCCATCTTTATGAGGATGGGCACTCAGGCGCTGTGGTCTGCAGCCTGACCCTCACACCCAGGGGTGGCTGTGCTGATGTGGACAGGTGGACCAGGGATCCTAGGGCTGGGAGGACAAGGACATGGGCTGTGTGCCAGCGAGTGCCCCCAACCTCGGTTATGAATGACCCAAGCTGAACCCAACCCCAGGTCTGGGCTGACCATACTGAGTTCCTCTGCCCTGGGACTCCTGGGGGCCTGGGTGGGACGAGGAGGTCGTTCTGTGAGCCCCCACCTAAGCCTGGGATAGCCCAAGGCCCATCTGTCTGATGGCACCCAGAGCATCAACTGCATGTGAGGTCCAGGGTCACATCCCCTTCTAAGCCGAGTGCTCCCCAGGCACCTCCCAAGCCCTGTGCCTGACCCTAGGTGGGTCTTGGTCTCCTTGGCACTCCCAGAGCAGATCTCCCATCTGTAACCTGCTGAAGGCCGAGAGCTAGCCCAGTGACCCCCAGGGACCCTAATACCCTGGGAGCTAAAACCTCTCCACAAAGACTCGCACACATGTGGCAAAGAGACACGTGTGGGCATGATGACCATTAGGCCTGTGTCCAAGCCCGACCAGCCCACTAGAGTGTGATTGTGGCCCCTCCAACCCAGGCCAGAACTGAGGGCAGCCCCAAGAACTAACCGATGGCGGGTTAGAGCCTGGTTTGAGGGACCAGGTGAGGACCAATGACTTGAAAAGCCAGGAGGACTAAAACACCCAAATCGGGCAGTGACTCACAAGCAGACAGACCCCCAGAGCTGGACATGGGGCTAGGAGCTCTCTAGCTGCAGGTCAGGAAACCCCAAGAATTCTGGTTCTAAAGCCCCCACCTCAGCCCAGGGCATCCCTGGAGCCAGGGTCCATGGTGGGCCCTCCACAGAAAGGAGCAGTAACTCCCCTCAATCCCAAAAGACGAACTACAAAGAAACGCCCCCTACCCAGGGCCAAGAGGTAGAGGGTCCTGAAGGAGCCGCCTCCTAGGTCTCAATGCACATGGGGAAACTGAGGCTGAGGGGAAGGGGCTGGCCCCAGGGTCCCCAACAGCTCACTCACCTGGCTGAGATGTGCTCTCTGCTCCTCTGATCTGCTCGGGTTCCCAAGGGCAGGGTGGGCGCACTGCCAGAGGCCTGGCCCCAGTCTGGCTTTTCTGGGGAGCCGCCACAACCTCCAAGTACGCCGAAGTCACACCCTTCTTCCCTTCTTGAGTGCGGGTGGGTCTGGGCTGAGGAAACCTGATAACCTCCCTGGCACATCTGCAGGGCCCCATCAGGCCACAGTGGAATCCCAGCCTCACGGAGCAGGGAGGCGGCCCCTCTGTGACAGGAAACCTGGGCCCAGATGTGCTGAGCTCTGGCCCACGCAGGCAGCCATCAGGGGCAGAGCGGGCTCCAGGTAGCCTCTAGGCCCCTGTCCTGTCCTCCTGGCCAGGGGAAGCCGAGGTCCCCACTCTGGCTGGCCCCTTCTCACGACTGCTCCAGGAGAGCCCTCGTAACCAGAAGTGACTGATCTCTTGGCCAACAGGGACTCCTGTGAGGGACAGCCAGAACTCAGACGTGGTCCAAAAGAAAGCAGGCAGCAGCCTGGAAGAAAGGCACTTTGGGGTCCTCCTTGAGGGTGTTTTGCAACAGGCCAGCCATACTCAAGGTGGCAAGGGAGGCTGGCAGTCTCTGCCCATGTTCAGAACCTTCTGGGCTATTCCAGAAGCAGCAAGGAATGAAGAAAAAGCCCGGACTCAGAGCCAGGCAGCCCTGGATGTGACCTTGGATAAATCACTTCAGCTCTTGAAGCCCTGGTTCCTCATCTGGAAAATGGCGATGGTTGACGTACCACTCTCTTGGTGAAAAGTGAGGGAGGTGACGTGAGACCAGCCCTTAGCCAGCTACACGGAGAGAGACCAGAACCTTAGGCTGAGGCCAAGAGGAGCAGCAGAGCAGCCGCGGCTGAGGCTCAGGCGACCCTCAAGGACCACAGCCCAGCCTGGTCACTACAAGCCCTTTATTAATAAGTTGATAAAAATAGAAGAGAAAGAGATGTAAAAATACTGTTCTTGGAGGCCCCAGGATGGGGAGGCACTGTCATAAATCACCTGGCCAGAGAAGGCAACCCAGCCAGAGGCAGAATGGTGATCAGGGCCCTGTCCAGGGAGCAGCTGGCCCAGGGCACTGAGGGGGGGATGGCTCAGGCCTCAAGCAGGGAATGTGCAAATGCCGAGGCCGCTCAGGGAGTAATGGGTTGAGGGCTTCCTGGTGGAAGCCCTGAGCACCACGTTCCCCTGTTCGGGCAGACACACGTGTCCACGTGAGAGCTGGTGCCTGCACGCGACTTACAGACAGAGAGCAGAAGGAGGGATCCCCCGGCAGGATTGGGGGCTGGGGGGTGGGCTCATCTCAGAGCTTGAGGAAATAGCTTAGAGAAGTCTCTGGAAGCCTGGGGGCAAGGGAAGAGCATGGAGGCTGCTGTTTTCCTCAGGCCTCAGGAGCCCAGGCCTTCCTGCCGTCGCTGGAGGACCTCGATGACGCTCCCGATGCCGTCCTCTGGCACCTGCGGGTAGAGGCAGGGGTCAGGGCCGCCCCGACTTCCTGGCTCAGCTGGGTCTACCTCCTGTCCCCTCCACCCTTCTGGGCATCAGTATCTCTCCAGGACCCCCCATATCAGCCCATGGCACTCACCAGGGCGTGGTCAAAGTTGAAGGTGCTGATGTAGTAAGCAGAGATGTCAGCCGCAGCCAGGGGACCCGCGATCTGGGCCACAATCCCACATTCATCTGAGGGTTGAGGAAGGGTCCATGTGGATCAGCCTGGTCGCCCCACAGGCCCTCCCCAAGCCCCTAACACACAAGAAGCAGCCCTCACCAAAGCCCAGAGGCTGTCCACCGATGCGCACCATCCTCCACAGCTCTCCCGAGGAGCTGGTCAGCAGGAGGTCACTGGGGAACCTGGGGAGGTAGGTGGGAAGTGGGCAGGGCACCCACCCACCCCCTCCCTGCCCCACTGTGAGACCCTGGGGCATGTCGGCCTGGTGACCTCCAATTCTGACACTCCACCTCCTCCCTCCCTGGGGCTGGCTTAGGGTCTATGGTTCACCCTGGGTCAGGGGTCACATACTTTTTCTGTGTCTCAGCATCCATGACAATGGAGATATAGCCCTCAATGAGGGAGAAGGCAAAAAATGTGATGGAACTGGGTCCAGGACTGCCAGAGGCTGCCTCCTTGGGGGCACTGGGGAGGAACAGGAGACTCAGGTGCTCTTCTGGGCACCCAGCCCACTCCATCTCCTCCCAGTCAGCCTCCAGAGCCCCGGGCAGGAGCTGGCACAGGTGGCCCTGGGCAGACCCTCCCATCTCTGGGTCACTTTTCCTCCCGTCTGAGGGCCCTGATCTCCTTTGGTGCCAGGTATGGATGGAAGAGAATGATGAACCCTGTCTGTGCCAAAGGTGCAGGACCCCAGGGCCAGACGGCCTGACCAGGGCACGGCTCTGTCCACACTACAAGAGAGGACTCTGGCTGTGGTATCAGGACCTTCCTTGAACACCAGTGAAGGGCACATGGGCATCACAGGCTGCCATGAACCCCGAGACAGAACAGGGCACAGAGCTGCAGAATCAAGGGACAGGTGGAAGGTGGTGGGACAGAGCAGAGGGAATAATGGTGTGAGGACACAGGGATGAAGTGCACACAACACCCACCTGTGTGAGTAGAAGAGAACATCGATGAGGGTGGTGGCGATGGCTGGCAGTGTTTCAGGGTCCAGCGTGAGGACACAGAAGCGGTTCTGTGGACTCTGGATGGGATGCACTGTGGGGCTGGGCCCTGCTAAGGAGGGACCAGGCAGAGACAGGTGAAAAGGCAACCGTGGGCTGGGGCGCCCCCTGGTGGGGCCTGGGCTGAATGCAGGGTCATGCTCTACAAGAACCCACTGCAGTTTTCCCCGCCCCATCTCCCCATCTTGTGAGGCGGTGTCAGCTGGTCTCCCCATGCCCACAGACCCACCCGCACAAGGGAAGGGCCTCAGAGGGAAGAGGAGCCCCCGCCCAGGTTTGGGTGTCAGAGGTCGGCCCTCACCATGCTGGGCACGGGGAAAGCCGTTGCTGGAATCAGCCCTGGCAACAGGCACAGGCTCCCCGCCCACCTCTCGGTAAATGTCAAACTCCTGGGCCAGCGTGTGGATCACCTTGGACAGGTCCTGCTCCCGCACCTGGGCCACCGGGAGACGGCACATCACACGGGTCCCCAGACACCCATGCCCACCCTACCCTACACTGGCGCCTGCAGGAAACTCACCAGGATGAAGTCTGTCTGGTAAGTGGACAGCATCAGCACGGACACATGGTGCTTGGCTAGTGGTGCAATGACTGAGCGGGCGATCTTGGTGACCCCAGCAGCCTGCACGGCTGCTCCGCTGTGGGATGACACATTCAGCACCAGCCATGTGGCCTCAGCCACTTGCAGGAACTCAGATGGGGGCAGCTCTGTGGGTAGGGGGCACATGCTCGGTCAGGGCCCGCAGGGCTGGCCCCTGCCCCTCAGTTTCCCTGAGACTTGGAGGGCTCTCCCAAAGCAAGGTCGGGTCTGAGACTAGGGCTCTCTCCCTCCTCCGAGTCCTGCTCCTGAGACCTGCATGTATGGAAGGACTGAGAAATGCTCCAGGTGCTGGCCAGCCAGGGATTGCAACTTCCCAGTTAAGATCAAAGCTCCAGATTCAGACAGACCTGGGTTCAAATCCCAGCTTCGCCATTTATCTGCTGTTGGCCTGGGGCAAATGATTTAACATCTCTGAGTCTCAGTTTCCTCATCTGTAAAATGGGATGACAGTACTCATCTCCCTCATGACTGTTTTGTGGGTTAACAGGTTTTATACCATGTGACACCACCAGGGGGCGCCAGCAGATCATGTTGGCTGGCGTATGCCTTCCTCTCCTAGCACATCCAGACTTGCCTGCAGTACAAATAGGGAAACTAAGGCCTGAAACGGTGCAGTGGGGGATGGGCCTAGCCCCAGTTGGCTAGCCTGAGAGTCCAGGCCTGTGAGGATGGGTCAAGCTGGCAGGAGTAGGAGCCAGATGTCAGTTCCAGGGACCAGGGAGGGATTAGGCTGGCGTCCAGTCCAGAGCAGAAGCCAGGGCCAGGGTGGTTGCTAATCAGCCAACCACAGCCAGGAGGCCCCCCCAGGACCCTGCCCTGGGCTGGCTGCCTGTTCCTGCATTCCTTCCCCAACCCTCAGACTCCTGGAGCTCCAGACCAGTCCGGGAGGGGGTGACCAGCACGAGGGAGAGAAGTCCGGAGAGAAACAATGGCCAGGGGGGTATATGAGCCACAGGAACACGATTCTTGGCCGGAAACGTAACTGAGGCTTTGCTGCTGGCCTGAGGCTCCTAAGTGCCCTTCACATACAGGCCCTCATGGGATCAGAACCTTAACTATACCATTTTACCTAAGAGGAAACAAATAGCTCAGAGCGGGGAAATGACTTGCCAAAGGGCACACAGCCAGTGAGTGGTGGAGTCCAATCCGAACCCAGATCCGTCCGCCTTAAAGGCCCCAGCTCTTGGGACATTAGATCCTAAAATCTAGTGAGAATCCCGAAAAGAGGGGAGGGCGACATCCTTTCCCTTCTCCCCCTGCCCAGCTCAGCCCCACCTTTGAAGCCCTCCTCGTCCACCATGAGCGTGTAATCCTCAGGGGTCTCCGTCAGGCTGAAGAACTTGCACCTGGTTGGGAGCGGGGGCATCTTCAGCCCGAGTTGGGCGGAGGGGGCAGGTAGACTTCGCTCTATCTGCCCGGAAAGACCCTTGCGGGGCGCCTTCCTGCCCCCTCAAGCCTCAATTTTCTCCCCAGGGCAGTGGGATATGGGCTCCACCTCTGGAATCGCGAAGTGTTTTCCCCTCCCGACCTCCGCAGGAGACCCCCGCCCCTCCATTCCGGGAGGGAGGAGAAGCTCACCTGCGGCAACAGCGCCGGGGGCGTCGGACCTTGGCCCCCCTAGACCCACCCCACTGACCAGATTAGAGGCATCTGGAAGAAGCTGACCCGATGGAAGTCACCAGGAAGGAATGCCTCCATTTAACACCACTCGGAGTTAAGCATTGACCACCCCAGGCTGTTTGCGCCTTAAGTGGCCCTGGGAGGGGGCCTCACGGGGCCGGATAGGCGGCGGTCACAGGGAGGGTAGGCCCAGGCCGGATGGCGGCCGGGGCGGGGGTCTCCCCGCCCGCTCCCGCTCGCCCCGCGGCGCTCCTAATCTCCCGACCCCATCCCGGAGCGACAGCGGAGCCCACCCCCATCTGTGCCTCCGAACCAGGGCGCGCACCGGCTGCGGTGGGGCAGGAAGAGCAGCTTGATGAGCGGGTGGGTATAGAGCCAGAGACCGGGACGGGCGAGGCTCAGCACCCGCACCCGGTGCTCTAAGATGTGCAGCTCCATCGCGGCCGGCGCGGACCCGAACCCACCACCAACCAGACCCAGGCCGCGCCGGGGGCGGGGCGGTGGGGGCGGTGCCGGAGGCTTAAAGGAGCCGCTGCGCGGCCGCGTCCACGCTGCCCGCTACGCCGCGGACCCGCCCAGCTTCGCGCCGCGTCCCACTCCCTGACTGCCACGCCTATCCAGGGTGGCCACGCCTTCTTCTAAAGCCTGAGCCTCGCCCGACTCCTTCCAGCCCGCCGAACCCCGCCCCTCTGGCTCCGCCCCTTTAGCGTTGCTCAGAGATCACCCGCTGACCCCACCCCCGTCGAGTCCTCCAGGCCACGCCCATGCCGCGCCCCTTCTCGGGGCTCCGCCTTTTCCGCAGGATGCCTGCCGCGTTGGGGTTGGAAGCAAGCGTGAGGTGTGGGGTCGTTTCTGACCTCTGGCCTCCGTATGGGTCTTATGACTGAGGTCACTGAAGTTTGGGAGGTTCATGAGGCGAGCCGGGGCTCGGCTGGGACCAGCATGCTGCCCCCAAGCCCCTGGAGCATGGATGGGTAGGGGTCTGCTGTGCAGCCTGGGTGACCCTGTGATTCTCTCCCAACAGTGTCTTGGTGCCTTTCTCCCTCCTTCCTTTCATGGCTCGGCATGGGGCAGGGCCACCAGAGCTGGCTGGAGTGGTGGAGACAAAAGTCCCAGTCCCCCAGCAAGGGTATTGATATATACCCCTCCCTGCTTTGTGAGCCCTGCAAGTGGGCTGACAAGGTAAAACCTGCCTGGCCTTGGTGGCCCCCACACCTGTTTCTCTCACCCAACTTCCAGAATAGAAGTCTCCCCACGGGGTCACAGAGATAGGGAGGGCCCCAGCCACCTCTGTCTGAGCAACATACTATGGGGTAGGGGGCTGAAGGTGGCCAGGCCTAAGGCTTGAGGCCCCTCAAGACTAAGTGCTTGGGCCAGGAATGCCCAAGGCACAGACTTTGGGGGACAGGCCCATGCATCTGGGGCTGACTGGGTACTCAGATCTCAGGCCTGAGACTTGAGCCCTGCTGAGGCCTCCCAGAGCCTGCAGCCATTAGCAGATCCCAGCTGGCCTGAGCACATCTGAACTTGCTTCATGTCCAAGGACACCCTGATCCGGACGGCCCTTGTCTGGCCCGAACATCCTCAGGCCTCAGATCTGAGGCTTTGAACTAAGCAGGTTAAAGCAGGCCTCGGGCCTGATAGGATCCAGCAGGCCTGAGCAGGCCTCCCGCTTGCTCGGGAGCCTTCCCTGCAGGTGGATGGACGCGGGGCAGCGCCTCGGCTCTCTGGACGCTCTGGCTTGGTGGGTTCCTATGGAACACTGTGCAGCTGCCACACAGGGGAGGGGAGTGTCCTCAAAGGCTGAGTCCATCTCATTGATGGCACGTGCAGATGGGGTAGGAAACCACAGGGGTGAGGGGCAGGAGGCAGGAACTGGGTGGCCTGCCCTGATAGGCTCATGTGACCTTTGACTCCCCAAGCCTCAGTCTCCCCATCTGTATCAGGACACGATGTTCCAGGCCGAGGCCCTGCAATGCCTGAAAGCTCCAGGGAGTCTCTACTCCTCCCTCTCCCGCCCCCTCCCCCCACGGCCCAGCCCAGCTTGATGGCCTGCCAGGAACAGCCACTATTGTTTGACTGGAAAAGCTGCTTCCTCAGCAGAAGGGGGGCCTCTCCCAGGGACACCATGTCCTCACCCTCAATAGTCATCAGGTTGTGACCATAGTGCCTGCCTGGGCCCTCAATGGCAGTCAGGTCACCTGGTACCCTGATCAGGAGAGGTAGCTGAGAGGCTCTGGGCACAAATCTGGATCAGCTTCATCTTTCCTACGCAGCTCCTCTGTTTCCTCATCTGTAAAATGGGGATAAATAACAGAGCCTACCTGATCAGGTACGTGACACCATCAGCCCAGCCTGGCACATACTAAGTGCCCAGTAAACTGCAGATGGCCTTTTGTCAAAGACCCAGACTTCTCCCCTCACACCACTCCTGGCACCAGCACCTGACCCAGAAGGAACACTCAGAACCTTATTGGAGTCCAAAGTGGCATCCAGGCTTGGAGGAGGAAGACCCTGAAATGACCTCAGTGATGGGCAGGGATCAAGGTCTGGGGAGCAGGCTTGGCCCCAGTTCTAGCCTCCAGCCCTGGTGACCCTCATCTACCGCAGATGGTGGACATGGGGCAGAGGGGATAGGGTGAAGGAAAACAGGGGCTGGGAACAGGGTCTGGTCCTAGATTTGGCATGCCCTCCGCCAAGGTATTTCTCAGAGAGGCTCTGGAACAGGGCTGGGGCCAGGATGAGGGGCTCTGTAGGGTGTGGAGAAGAGATGCTGAACACCAGGGATGGCACCTGCTTCCCAGTCCCTACCTGCACACCACTTCTCTACACAAGCCTGTTTATTTCTGTACAAAACCATGTTTCTATTTTACACAAAAAATACCCCAACCTCCACCCCGCTCTCCCCTCATGTAAGCGCCCTAGCCCTGGAGAGCATCCCCCCAGGAAGAGGAGGCTGAGTGAGGCGCCACCCATGGGCCCTCACTTCTGCCTGCCCCAGCTAGGCTGGCCCAAGCTCCACTCTGGAGAAAATAAATAAGGAGGCTCAGGCGGAATCTGTGCTGGGCCAGCCAGACTCTCTGCCACCCAGTGGCCAGGTGGCCGGGCCCTCAGAGGGTGGGCAGGCCCTGGAGTGTCAGTCTATGATCTGTGTATGTGTGCCGAGACCCCGCTCTGGAGGCCTGAGCTGCCGGGGTTACAAGTAGGTATCCTCACTCTCTTGGGACGTCAGGCTCTCCCGGGAGTGGTGGTGGGCTGAGTCCTGGGGAGCTGAGTCCTGGGGGGCTGGGTCCTGGTGGACTGGGTCCTTTGGAGCCACATCCTGTGGGGGACATGCATCTCCTGCTGCAGATGCCATCTTGGTTTGATTTGGGGTCGGGGGCTTGTCCAGGTACCCCTTTGCCTGCTTCTGCTGCTCCTTCTGCTCCTTCTGGATCTGCTTGGATGGCTTGGGCTTGCCCTTAGAGCCAGGGAGGGGGGCATCCAGGGGCAGGCGGATGGATGGTGAAGGTTGCAGAGTGGGTCGGGGGCCTGGTTCCGCCTCCAGGATGGCCTTGGCACCATGCAGCCTGGGTGGGGAGCAGGACTGCAGCTCACCCCGGGTCTCCTGCCAGCGCCGCAGCTGGATGAGGTGCTCACGCTCAATCTGGCGCTCTGTCACTGGCAACTCTACCACCTGTGGGGGCAGTGACATGCAGGTGGGCACCAGGAAGAACCTTCCCCTTCTGCCTCCCAGGCTGGGCCCCTGTTCTCTCTCAGTGCCTCCCAGCCCTGGTCACTAAAGGCTGACCCTAAGAAGGATGGAGGTCTGGTCCCTGCAGTGGTCACAAGTCTTAGAACTGAGTGCCAGGTGAGCCAGGCACTTGAGACCCACGGCCTCAGAGGAGAAAGCTGCCCACAACTCATGAGTCCACTCATCTAACTATGTGTCACCTCATTACAGCCCCTGAGAGACAAAAATCCACCAAAGAAAGAAAAAAGGGAAAATAAAGGCCATGGATGTGGTACCAGGGAGTGAGAGGGGGTGACAGTTGCAGCTCCTCTTGTTCCCAACTGCTTCAGAACAGAGAAGGCCTTGCAAACCTAGGCTGCTCTGTGCCCCTCTTCTCGTTCAGACAGGAGGATGAGGTCTACCCGCACCATCCTGGGCTGCTGAGCACTGGGCCTGGCATGGGGGACCCACCCTCGAGGGCAGAGGGTTACCAGGCCCCCCTTCAAAGGGCCCCCACGTCTCCCCCTCCCTCCCAGTGGCGAGGGGAAGGTATGGGCCGCACCTCCTGGACCAGGAAGGCCTCCTGCATGATCTTGGGGCTGAGGCTCCGCAGCCGCTCAATAGTCTCGTACTGGCCCTGGCAGGCTTTGAGCTTCTCGGGGGAGCCCAGCGCGTGCTTCAACAGCACCAGCCCCACCCGGAAGATGATCTTGACTCCTGCATGGGGGGTGGGGGGAGACAGGTGGTGAGTGCAAGGGGGCCTTTAGGGAGTTTCTCTGGAAATAGAGGCCCCTCTGGGCTGGGTTGGGGGTAGGGGTACTCCCCCGAGCCCAGCCTGGTACCTTCGCAGAAGAACATGTCCCAGACACGCAGCACAGAGCTCCAGGGCAAGGTGCGGGCGAAGGCACACATGAACCACTCTGTCATGTAGAGCAGCGGATCAATCTTCTGCCGGCTGAGGTGCTTGTGGGCCACAGGCGACACCTTCTGCAGCAGTGAGAAAAGGATCTCCCCGTCCAGCTGGATTGCCTCCTGGGGGGACAGCAAGGCCACGGGGCCATGATGTTGGACCTGCAGCAGCCAGTGTAGGGACTATGCCCTGGCCCCCAGCACCAGGCAGACATTCGTTCATTCCTCAGGTGGCTATTGCCTGCAGGGTGCCAGCCTCGTGCTGGGTGCTTGGATACAATGATGAGCAAACCAGACACAACTGGTCCCCCTCGTGCAGTGTGAAGTAGAAAGAGGAAGACAGACATCAATCACAGGAACAAAGAGACTAGGAAGAGGAGGAGGGGGGGCTAAGTGCCCAGAACACGGCAGGAACAGGAACGCTGGGTGAGCGTGTGCTAGAGGTCCCACCTGGCAGGGTCAAGGAAAGTTCCCCAAGGGCTGAAAGCTGAGGGAAAGGAGGAGTTATCAGGGGAAGGAAGGACAGGAAAGGGGCAGAGGCCGAGGCAGGGAGGAAGTGGGTGCACTGGAGGAACTGTGAGCCTGCCGAGCGGCCAGACGGCTGGAGGCAGAGATGGAGGCAAGTGTGGAACTGATGACTCTGGAACCTGGGAGACCTGACCCTGGCAGGCCTGGGGACTTCAGCCTGAAAGCAACAGAAGGCTGGGAAGGTTTTAAGCAGAGTCAGGAGTGGATGTGGAGAGAAAGGCCTGGAGAGGCCAAAAAGGGTGTCCAGCCTGGGGCAGGTCCCAGGCCAGGTCCCAAGCCTGGCAAGCACTCACCAGTTTCTCACTGTAGTAGCCAGGCAGGTACTTCTCACAGATCTGCACCAGGCACCAGAAGGCTTGCTGTGAGAAGGAGAGATGTGAGGCCTTTCCGCAGGGTGTTCCCTGCCCGCCCGTTCACCCACCCAGGGCCTGGTGGTACCTCGGCAGGCATGTGCATGAGCAGGACAGCGGCAATGGGTGCCTGGGCCTGGCAGTAGCCCTCCTCAGGTCGGTACAGCGTGTAGGCCTTCAGCACTCGGAATAGGTCCTGCTGGCTGTGGAGAAGCCATGTGTGGCAGAGACGACAGGTATGACTGCCACCCACTGCCTTCACCTGTGCCCCACTAGACCAGACCTGTCTCAGAATTTGCACTCCCTTGGAGAGGGGACGTGACCTGATTGTGGTCACCAAGGGGTCAGTCTCCCACTGCAGCACATGGTCTCTCACATGACCAGAGTACAGAGGCAGGGAGAAGCTCCCCCATTTGACAGGTGACGGCAGAGGCTCGAAGAGAAAGCAGAGGGCAAGACCAGGGCAGGATGCCAGGTGCAGGGTGAGGCTGAATTGAGGGCTGGAAGTGTGGGCCTCTCACCCAGCAGCTGTGGCCCCTAGGCCAAGACAGCTTTGTCCAAGGTGTCTGTCTTGGTCCCCTGGCCCACCACATCTCTCCCTTCCTACATACCCTCTGCCCATCCAACTCTCTCTAACCTTTTCTCCCCACCAAAACTTGGTTTCAGAAGAGGGCCAGGCGGGCAAGCTCTAACACTCGGGGGAGTAAATGATGAAAGTTGCCCCAGAGGTAAGAGGAGATGCTAAGAGGACACATCAGACTCAAACCAAAGAAGGGAAAGTCTAACAGTGGAGTTTGGGGCCCCCAGATTCTGGGCCCCCTGGATACCCCACACTCATTTTACCTCCTCTGCCTCCTGAGGGACAGGGACTAGAGCCACCTCCAGCCTACCACACCCAGTCTGCTCACCCGTGGCCCCCCCGGGACACAAACATCTCATGGAAAGGGAACTGTCGGTGCAGGTCACGCTCAATCACATCCAGCCACTTGGGGTCCCCGGGGGACATGTCCAGCTCCTGGAAGCAAGATCAAGGGCATATTTTAGGAGTGAAGGATGGCTAGAAGGATACAACTGTCTCAGGTATTGGACAAGCCCCCTACCAGGGGCATTGCCTACCCAATCCCATCATGGACTGAGCCTTCCTGAGGATAGGTCAGAAAGCCTGGGCAAAGAGGCAAGGCGGGGAGGGCCCTGGCAACCCTAAGGGGTGATCCTGGCTCTAGGAGGACCCAAGTGCGCAAGTGTCCATCATAGCTATGGCTGAAAATAACTTCTATGTACTTCATTCAGAACTCACACAAACACCTTATGTCACATCCTTCAGAAGGAAGGCTACTGTCAAAGCAATAGCTACCACCTGTTAGCACTGCTCTGCACCACCCATGGGCCTCACTGACTCTTCTCCTCAACCCCAAAAGACAGGTCCTATCATTACATTGTTCAGAGATGAGGGTCAAACAAAAGTCACTTGCCCTAGGCCTCAGTGGCTAGAAAAATGGTGGAGCTGGGCCTGGAAGCCTGGTTGACTCAGAGCCATCAATCCCAACTCTTCTATCTCCCTGCGCAAGTGGCGTCACCTACTCAGATAGGTGTGTGTGTGATATGCATAGAGTGCTGTCTGGAAGGATGCGACATCTGTCAACCCATTAACCTCAGAGGCATCTCTGGGTGCTGGGGTTTCAACGAAATTGTCTCTTTTCTTTGAACTTCCACGAACATTTTATACCATGAGTACTGTTTATGAAAACAAAGTACTACACAAAGAAAAAGCATTTCTTGGTCATTTGAAATGTCCTATATCTTGATTTGCATGTTGGTTACACGGATGTGCATTATTTGTCAAAATTCACTAAATTGCACACTTAAGGTTTGCACATTTTACTCTATGTAAAGTCATGTCTCAACTTTAAAAAAGAGAGAAGAAATCCATAAAAGGAAACCCAGAGGGCTGAGCAGGGAAGCAGACTATATACGTGTTGCCTGCAAGGCTGGGGCAGTGTCAGGGGAGGTCCCCGAGAGGAAGGGCAGGTCCTCAGCAAACACAGCAAGTGGGTGCAGGCCCAGGCCCGGGCCCTGATCAGCGGGTGACTTCACACAAGCGCCGTTCCCTCTCATGCCCCCTCAGTGGGGGTGTCCCAGCACTGAACTAAAGAACCTGGGGTGAGAGAGTAAGTACTGAGAGAAAAACCTGACAGAGTGGTGAAGGCTGGAGGGTAGAAGGAAGGGCTGGGGGCTCCCACAAAGGGTCCTTGAGCAGGCACACAGCTGAAGAGATGGGTGTGCAACCTCTAGAACCCCATACACCCTCAAGATGGCAGCCTGTGTGTGTCCCATAAGTCAGGCCCAGGACCGGGTACTGTCTGAGTACATGGCAGGTTTGTTTTGTCAGAAAGGGGAGGAGGGTCCCACAAGTTCTCCTGAGGGTTCCTGTGAAGAGGGGACCTCAGAACCCAAAATGTCGGTTCCTGGGATGTGCTTGCCTGGTACCTCAGCAGCCCAAGGTGCTCAACCACACATGGGTTGGTGAGTAAGGAAAAGATGTAGCTGAAGGGCCTGTGGGGAGAAAGTGTGCTGGGAATGAAAGGCAGGTATGGGCTGTGGCAGATGATCCCACTACCACAGCCTCTGTGAGATTCTGAAAGCGCTGGCGCCATCATGAGGTGAAGCCAGGGAAGAAAACCAGCTAAGAAAGGGACAGAAGGTCCTGGCCTACCCAAGAAAGAGGAAGAAATAGCCAGTGCAGAAGAAGGAGCCACCAGGGGCTACAGAATCTGTCCTGACAGCTGAGGTTGGGGTTGGCCACTTGGGTCTGCGGGGAAGCACAGGAACAGGTACGTGCTGCCACTAGCAGCCCCCTCACCATACCCCTGCTTTGGTCTCATGTGCCCACAGCAGCCAGAGGGAGCTTCTCATCCCTGTCCTTTTCCTCCATGTCACCTATAGGCAAAGTTCTTCCAGATGTGCTCAAAAACGACTGTTCCAGCCCCCAGGACTGCCTCGGGGCCCCCACTTTGCTTCAGAGCATTTTGAAGACCTTTCTCAGCAAATCTCTCTCTTTCCACAAGCAACCTTCAAGACTACATAGGGGTGGCCAATTCCTCCCCGGAAGCACCACTCAACATACACATAATGCACATACAGCTCTATGCTCTGCCCCTCACATAGGATGCACTCACATTTGCTAACAGGAGGCTAGCTGGACCACCCAAGCTCTCGGCTTCATGCCTGTGCTCTGGCAGCCAGAGGCAAGCTATGAACTTGAGTGAGGCTCCCACCCCTGAGCCTCCCCCTCCGCCCAGGATGCAGCCCCCTGAAATGGAAGAGATGTAGCCACTGGGAGGAAGATTCTGGAGTTGAGAGGCCACTTGAGTAGGACCTGGTATTGGTGCTCTGTGGGACAGTCGAATCACCCCAATTCAGAGCTGCTCCCCCAGGGCCAACTGCTGCTGGCAAACAGCTCTTACCCACTCCAGGTCAACAGCAGAAACTCTGGGCTGCCCTGTTCCACCCACCCTTCTCAGGGAACAGGTTTGGTGGGATAGGAATGTTTGCTGAAGCCTGAAGTACGTCAACAAAGAGCTGATGGCTGGCAGCTCTGTTTCAGTCTGCCTGTCACCAGTCCTGGGAGAAACCCTGACACGTGGGGCCGGGTCTGGCAGGTGAGCTGGGACAACCCCAGGGAAGCTAACTCCCTCCCACAGTTCCCTAAGGGAGCAGGCTGGAGGAGCTGCCCAGCCCAAGTGGGACCCAAGAAGCTCTACGAGTGGAGGGGTGTTCTCACCCTGGCAGCCATGGGGCAGGGGACAGTGGTTAGGGTTGGGGAGGGGAATGCATGGCTGCAGAGGGCATCCTCTCTGGCCACTGACTGGCTTCTGAGCCCTAAGGATACTAGTTTGGCTCTGCCATCCCCAGTGCCGACAACCCCATAAGCAACACAAGTGAACCATGTCTGGCTGAGCTTGGCCGAGCTTGGCCCAGGGAGGAGAAAGAGTAGAGGATGGGAAACCAGGAAGCATTAAGGGTTCTGTGGTCCTGCTATGCAGGCCCCCAAAGGCCCAGAGCACAGGGCCCAAGGCAGTCAGGGAAGTGGTCTGGGTATCCCCTCCTGACGGCCAAGGGCTGGGAGGTGGCCCACTGAGTCCAAGAAAGCAAACCTGAGTAGTTGTTAAGAGAAAGCTGGAATGGGCAGTTGGGCACTTGATGGGTGGTTACATCATCACTCAGACTGCTGAGGTCCAGGTGAGCACATGTAGGATCACTGCCATGGAGAGGACGCCAAGAGACGCGGAAGGAAGGGCAGGGTGAAGGAAGGGCAACTCACGTCAAACTTTCCAGGGTTCTGCTGCAGCTTCACCTTGCCTCCTGACAGGTACTGCCAAGCACGGCCCCGCAGAGAAGGTGGGATGCCCTTCTGGCACCGCAGACGGATCTGAAAGTCAAAGGGAAGGCTGTGTCCGTGCATCTACTCGGGTAGTTCCCCCAGAGGCTGCATGCCAACCTAGCCCCTGAGCTGGTGTTTGGCGAGCCTTTGGTGAGTAAAATAGCAAGAATAGAAAAGGAGAGAAAAGAAAACTTTCTTACTGTTGCTAAAATGCAGATCCTATGATTTGGGTGTGGGCAGTGGGGGCAGTGGAGTGTGACTAGAATTAGATATGCTGCCACCAGGTGATGGCAGAATCCCCACATCCCCTGCTCCAGTGACAACACAGGTATTCCTGAGGTCTACCACAGAATTCTGAATCCCCATCACCATTTTCTGAATCGAAATGGAACCACACAAGTTGGAGGAGCCTCACGGGATGTCACTGGGAATGGATCTGCAGGGTGCAGTGTACGGCTACAGCCATAGGCAGTGTAGCTCATGAGATGACTGAGAATGTGCTCAGAGATGTGGCTCCAGGCACTTTCACAGGGGTGTTTGTTTAAGCAGCTGTGCGGCAGGACACAGCCAGCCTAGAGAGGAGAGATCTTGGCAGAACTCACAAGGAAGATGGGAGCTGATCAGAATGGCTCCCTCTTTGTTCTGGTCAAGAATCCCTTCTTCTGCTCTCCCTGGTCCTCAACTCCCATGATCACCAGCCTGAAGCAAAGGCAGCTGGCCTGGGTGCAAGTCCTGATCCCAGCCTTTGCTAAAATGGCTCAGGTATTCCCCACCACTCACAGACTGCAAGAGGTGAGGGAGGAAGTGTTTGGGATAGCTCATGACCCAGAGCTAGTGCTCAATTCACGTGCTAGCTGTTTTTATCAGAGAAAGGCTTCCACTGCCAAAACCAAGTTTAAAAAACCACCATGTCTTTTATGAATGGGGAAACTGAGGCTAAGAGTGGGAAAAATATTAAGGTCAAGGAAAAATATCAGGGACCCTGCTACCTCCTAGCTACAGCAGCACAGGCTAAAAGGATCAAGCCCCATGCACTTTCAACTTCACTGGCCTCTTCGAGCTGGGGCGAGGAGGCAACTCCCCCTGGGCTTAGAGGGGAATGAGGCTCTGAGGCAGCTTCCCTGATTGTCCTCCTTGACCTCAAGTCAAGGGTCAAGAAGAGTGAGGGCAAAGGCAGAGGCACCACTCCTATAGAACGGAGGGCTGGGGATTGGCCACCGACACTCCTCTCAGCCCCTGCAGTAAGCAGCCTGGCCTGGGATGAAGGAGATGGGAGCTCAGGGCAGTGGGAAGAGCACCTGGATGTGGGTTTGAATCCAGCACTGACTTTCAGCCAATCATTTCTCATCTATGGTAAGATCAGAATAATATTTAGGATTCTATTAGAAGGGGAAAAAAGCATACTTAGCATGGGGCCTGACACACAGTCTGTGTTCAGTAAAGGATGGCTTCTTCTCCACCTCTCCATCACAGAAGGATGTCTGACACAGAAGCCCCAGGGCCTTGGGCTTACACCTAACCTCCCCTCCCTGGAAACCCCCTCAAACAGTCCCGCTGGAAACTCTCAGAGGAGGCAGCACAGACGGCCCAGCCTTCCTGATGACCAGTGCAAACCAGAGAAAACTTTCCAAGGGTCAGAGAAAATAAACGACCAGGAAGGAGACAGGCTGAGGGCAGTGGGGGAAGAGCAGAGTGGCTGGTCACAGGAGCCAAGCTCAAGCTTCTGGGACTGCCTGCAAAGTGGGAAGAGGAAGGAAGTGGAAGAGAACTGCCCCAGACTCTGGGAACAGTTTCCTGCTGCTGTGGGACAAGGGTCTCTTTAAGGAAGTCACTTGGTCTGGGCAGGCTTTGGCAAAGGGATGCAGTATGGCCCAGAGCCACAGATCCTTTAGGATCTCCCCAGGGCCAAGCTCAGCCGAGCCAGCCCCCACATCATCATAGCCCCCTGTCATATTTGCCCAGGAACACCTTCAGTCCACTAAGGTTCTCAAAAAGGCCCCACCGTCCTCAGGCCCAGGGCTGGGGAGTGACAGCCAGGAGTACAGCCAGCCTTTCCCACTCTGGCCTCAGGAATCCCCCTCAGCACAGTGCTGCTAGAAATGGCAATCTCCACCTGCCTGCTTTAGGGAGGAGGCAATGATAGGGAGGGACCAGTAAGGATAAAGTGAGAAAATGCTGGCAAACAAGAAGAATAAGGGATTACCATGGGAAAGGAGGTCTCTGATGACAGTTGAATGAGGCCACACCCTGCCAGCTGAACTCTAGGAGGCAGGGCCACAGCTTGAGCAGAGCCCTACAGGGGAAGACAGCATTCCAGCCCCAGCCCTGCCTCCCTGCAGGGCTGGGCCCACGCTCCGGGGGACTCAGGATGAGTCCACAAGAAGTGGTGGGTCTGGACCCACTTCCTGAAACAGGTATTATCCTTCCTGTGCCATGACTTCCTGACCACAGGAGAGCCCAAGCCTGCACAGCCAGCCAGGAAGAGCTCCTAGGGCCAGTGTGGCTACAGCTGAGGCAACAGGAGAAGAAGAGAGGGCTAGGGCCTCTGCGTAGGGTGGGGTGAAGCCTCTTGTGGTGGCCCTGCTGGGTAGGGGTAGCCCATAGCCTCTAACCACAGTGCCAGGGAAACAAAGGGGAAGAGGAAGTGGTGCTGGCTGCTCTGCGGAGAGGAGCTCCCCAAGGCTCCCATCTGGAATCCCCATTTGCAAGGGTGGCTGTAGCAAGAAGGCCAGAGCCACTGTCCCTGCCAGCCACTAGTTACTACAACAGACAGTGGAGAGGGAGCTGAAGCTCAGGGTAAGAGCCTGAGAGATAAGGAGGCAGGAAAACAGATCCCAGAGTTAGGCAAGAAGCAATTGAGGAATGCTGCCATAAAAATAATTTAAAGGGGCTGGGCCCATGGCCAAGTGATTAAGTCCAGCATGCTCCACTTGGGTGGCCTAGGTCCGCAGGCTCGGATCCTGGGCACAGACCTACACCACTTGTCAAGTCATGCTGTGGCGGTGACCCACAGACAAAATAGAGGAGGACTGGCAGAGATGTTAGCTCAGGGCTAATCTTCCTCAAGCAAAAAAACAGGAAGATAGACAACAGATGTTAGCTCAGAGTGAATCTTCCTTAGCAAAAACAAAACAAAACAAAACAAAACAAAAACCAAACAAAAATCTTAAAAAGAGAAAGATTTTTTAATAAGCAAAAAATAAGTGCCCCAAAGCCCACACAGAACAGCAAGAAAGTGCCCAGGCCTGGATACACCTGTCTTCCCATGGGCACAGAGCATAGTTACTGCCTCGTGGGAGCCTTGCAACAGGACTGTCATTCCCACTTGACAAGGGAAACTGAGGCTGAGAGGGTAGCTGAAAGTTATACAGCTAGCCAAGGGCATGAAGAGAGGGAGGCAGTGGGGCTGGGGTCAAGCCCATACCTGACCTTCAGTCCCAAGCTTTCTGCTAGGCTCTGCAGCCAGCTGTACCAGCCTGGGCCAGAGTGGCCTGTCAGCTGAAGACAGTGGGCCAGTGAGTTCACTCTGTGCACTGGGAACTTGTGAAGAGAGACCCTGGCTGTGAGGCTCTGGGCAAGGCTCCACTGGGCCAGGGAGTAACTACACCCTGCCAAGGTGGTCGAGGGCATCAACACACACACTTAAGAGTGGTGGGCAAGGACATTCTTATGGGGTGGTACAGTTAGTGTCTAAAGATAGCCTGCCTAGACAAGGACCACTGGGTGTTTTCATTTTTATAAGACCATTAAACTGTGAGGTTACTTTTCTTTCTTTTTGCTTTGGCCAGGAGGTGGGAGGGAACTCATCAAATTAATCTAGCGGGTAAAGTCCCCTTATTGTGATGGTGAAGAGTACAAGCACCAAAACTAGTCTGCCTAGGTTCAAATTTTGATTCCGCAGGTCATCCATAAAGTGGGGACACTACTACTACGAACCTCACTGGGGCATCATAAGGATTATCTGAGACAAGTGCCCAGCACTCTACAAATGTTCAACACGTTAGCTATTCTTAGTATTATAAAGTCCTCTCTGATAGGTGGTAAGCAGCAATAAGGACTTCTTCCAAGAGGGCTGGAGGAAAGCTGCCTGTAAATCCTTTTGGCTAAGAGCAGCTTTGAAGTTTGACTCCAGGACGAAGTTTGCATGAGCCTGGAGTCATCTAGGAGGACCAAGTGAAGGCTGGCCCTGCCCTCCAGCCTGCTTCTGCTCCCATTTCAGAGCTGGCAGATGGGGGTTACCTAAGGCAGCTGGCAGCTGGAGAAGCCCCTGCTCCTCCAAGCTGATTCACTTCCTCCTTCTTCCTTCCCAGGCTGCCAACTCCCAGCACAAGGCACAAGGCTGGGCCCCTCACCTTTTTGTGCTTCTTGGCCATCCATTTGTCCCAGTTGTTGAGCATGTCCAGCCACTTGGACTCTCTCTGCCTCAGCACCTCCAGAGGAACTTCCTCCAGCCTGTGGAGCAGAAGGCAGGGCCCGTCAGAGGTGCCAAGAGAAGCAAAGGCCCTGGCTTAGGCCCCAGTCACCAGTGTGGCTGGGCCTCCATTCTTCCCTCTGTCTTGCATCCTTCCAGGTCCCTTCGAGGCTGCTAACTCACGAACGCCCTAACACAGAGGAGAGGGAACACTGTCCCCTCCCTGAAAGGCACAGGCCAGAGGGACCCCAGGTTCAAGTGCCTACTCCCCCAATAAGTCAAGGGGCCAGGAGTCACCATGCCTCTCTGGGACAGAGACCTGAGTGCCTGGGTCTGTCCACCAAAGCAAAGCATTCCCATCCTGGGTCTGTCTCAATAAATCAGCCTCTTCAGAGGGCCTAAATGCAAGGTGCAGAGTTGGATGAAAAAACTAGTCAAACGAGTACAGAAATAATATGCTCACCTGTTCACTCTAGCAAAACTAGTTACTCATAGTTTCCCCAATTACACCCTGGCCTTTTCCCACCTCTCAACCTTTGCTCATGCCAGTCCCTTTGCTGGAACGCTCTATAAGTTGTCTCTACTTAGCAAAATCCTACACATACTTCAAAGCCCCATCAAATACCACTTGTATTTGTACATCTACTAACTGAGCAGCTATCACAGCTGTGCCAGAGTTGTTCTAGGGCAGGGCTTCTGAGCTGGCTGTGGGGAAGCACTCCTATGACTAGAACAAAGTCCCGGTCCTCATGGCCTTGACATTCTACTGGGTACCAAATGCCCACTAGAGCCCGTGGGGAAAACACTTCAGTGTGGAGATCCACCCCAGGCAGGCAGACCAGCACCAAAGCAGCTGAGGCAGGGTGGGGCGGAAATCCCTGGCTTAGCCAGAGGCTGCTTCAAGCGAGAGGCCTTCCTCCAAGGAGTGAGTCCCTGGGAATTCATGGGTTCACATAGCTCTGAGAGGCAAAAAGAAGGAGACTAGCTTTCGTAGGCTGGGCATTCTATATATGCATTCTTATTTAGCCTACAGGGCAATATTAGTAAAACAACAACAACAACAAATGTATGTGTATCTCTCTACACACATACTCACTCTCAAAATTGTTTTTAAAGTGATGGATTGCGGATCTTTTAAATTTCCTTTGTCATTTTTTTTTTTTTCATTTAAAAAAGTTCTTGATGGTATTGAGAGGTAAGATACCCAGGGAGGGTATCTTGCTCAGAGTCACACAGCAAATCGGTGGAAAAACCTGGACTCAAATCCGAGTGATCCCTGCCAAGAGCCTGCACTCAGTCCTGCCTGACGTCCCAGAAAGGAGTGCAGGGTCAAAGGCACTCAGGCGCTGGGAGGAGGCTCTCCGGAACAGGACATGGTGGGGCTGGGGCTTGGCCCAGGCCTCGATTCTCTGATTCTCTCTCTGCCGGAAGGAAATGCACTGCTGTGACTTTTACTGGTTGGAAGAGCAGAGGGAGGGGCCCTGGCAGAGCGGAGGCCTCTGAGACACAAAAGGGCAGGTCCTTTTCTTCAGTGCACTTTATCTGGGGAACTTCATGGGCCTGTGAGCAGCCTTGGAGCTGAACAGCTGAGGAGAGACATACCTGGCAGAACCAGCGCATGACGACATTCCCTTTCCCTCCCTTATAGGAGAAAAGCAGAGACCACACCTTTAGACCAGGTAATTTACAAAAGGACATGCGTTTCCAGGCCACTCCAAACACCCAGGGAGCGGAAACCAAAGGCCCACGCATCACAGGCTCTGCTGCCTTCTAGCACCTACGAAGCACTAGGTTATACAAGTCAGGGGATGAGCCTTCTAGTTGACTAAATGAAAGGGGGTGCCCACACACTGAATCACAGGAAGTTCTGGCAGTTATGAATGTGGATAATATCTGATTCAATTCCCCACTGAACAAATGAGAAAACTGAGGCTCACAGAGGGCAAGGCTTTGCCTGAGATTACCAGTTTCCAAAGAATTCCCATGTGATTAAATACATGCCCATTTGACACCTCAACCCTCCGGTCAGTCTTGGTTGATAAGATCTGAGTTCAGGGCCTCAGAGATACTCATTTTCCCAAATGCAGACACACAGGGGAACAAGTTTAAGTTCAGTGTTTTTTAACTGATGCCAGATAACAGCTTTGGCAATTTCAAAGCCCCAACATTAAACCTCAAACCGGAATTTCAATTGGGTACAAAACAAACGACCATATTTCCTGGATTCTAAGACACTGAATTTAAGCTACACCAGTGATTTGGCAAGTTCTCAGAAACAAATGAAAAACCTACCACTACTTTAAATGTACATGTGAACTGAAAGATCCATTTTGCTTTTTAAAACCTTAAACTTGGAAAATTTTGAAGAAATATGGTCATTTGAATAGCTTCTCTTCCAACAGCAGAGAAGATTAACCCACTTGGAGATGGTGAGAAGGAAGACATAGGAGGTCTGGTTGTACCCAGTACCCAGGACATCACATGCTCTCTAACTGCGGGTAGACCTCTCTTTACGTACAGGATGTGCTCCTGAAGAGATGCAGGCTACCTATTTTTTGAAAATCAGAAGGTTCACAATCTAGTCGGTCCGGATCTCAGAAGGCATCTGATCAGACTGCTGTCTGATATAGGAATCCCTTCCAGACCAGGCAAGCCCCTTGCCCTCTCTGAGCCTCAGTTTCCCTATATGAGTGAACAGCCTGCATAGCGAATTGACCCTCAAAAGATGCCCAGAAGGAGCCAAGATATGAAGCTGGAGTCAGGGCAAACAGTGTGATGGTGTAGAGGCCCTGGGGCAGCTTCCTCCTGACAGTGGAGGGAGAGCATGTGCCAGATTCTAGTGACAGGAAAGCTGACCAAATGGCCAGTTTAAGTGGCCAAATGGCCCATGGGGGATGCTTCAGGTCTAAGGGCTTCTCTCACCCTTAAGAAAACCCTGCTTTCCTTAAGGTGGCCTGAGGGAGTCTCTGCAACCAAAAGAACCTAATGAGAACAGTTTCTGGTGGCCCAGCCTCTGCTGGAACTCCTTCAGGAATGTGGCCTTATTATCTCCAGGAGGTGAAGTCCCTCTATTGTTGAAGTTTCTTACTGTTAAAACTTTCTCCCCCAAGTAATGCCAAAATTTTCCTGGTACCTTCTACCTATAATCTCAACACCCCCTTCTACGGCTGCATAATTCTCAGCCAGACCAGTCTCACACCAGGCACATGTGTGCTTATCCCTTGTCACCCACCCGTCCCTACCTGGAATGCTCTTTCTTCTCCCATCTCCAAGTCACAGAATTATATTGACCCTTTCAGGGCCCAATATATCAATAAAAACCACAACTTCAAAAATGACAGCAGCAATAGTAGTTACCATTTGTACGTAATTTCCTATTTACCAATTTCTTCCTAAATGCTTTACATACATTATCTCATGTACATTTCATAATAACCCTACCATAATATCATTTTACAGAAGTAGAATCCAAGACTTAGTAAGGTTAAGTGCCTCACTCAGGGCCATGTACCTGTAACTGACAGAACTGGGACTCAAGCCTAGGACGGCCTAGGACTCCACAGCCCATGCTCCTGACCCCTGCACCAGACTCCTCTGCCCCTGCAGGTCAAGCCCTCAGCCTCCACACCTGCCCAGATCTCATTAACTGTCCTCCAACCTGAAGGCCTTCATCTTGACTTAGAACACTATTTCTCAAAGTTTTTAAACTGAGACAGAGTAAGAAACAGATTTTCTACTGAGATTATATATATTTTAACTGAAATATATTTAATATATTTCATGAAACAGTTTACTCTTACATGTACCAAAGCAGTTTAATTATATATTACTATATTCTTTTTTTTTTAAGGATTGGCACCTGTGCTAACATCTGTTGCCAATCTTTTTTTTCCTTCTTCTTCTTCTTCACACCAAAGCCCCCCGGTACGTAGTTGTATATTCTAGTTGTGAGTGCCTCTGGTTGTGGCATGTGGGATGCCACCTCAGCATGGCTTGATGAGTGGCGCCATGTCTGCGCCCAGGATCTGAACCGGCGAAACTCTGGGCCACCGAAGCGGAACACACAAACTTAACCACTAGGCCACGGGGCCGGCCCCTATATTATTCTATTCTATTTCTTTTTTCTTTTTTAATGCTAGTCACAATCCCCTAAAATTGATTTCAGCACTAATTCATTAACGAATCAAGACACGAAGTCTGAAATGAGCACTTCATTACAACTTGCTCAGCACTGTCCCTTCCTAACTGGACTGGGTCTTGAACTTCTCTAACTCCTACCATGCACCTCACAGGTGTTCAACAGGGGCCTGCCTGGTTTCCGCCATGACATCATTATTTTCAGCTGCACTGCATTCAGATCTACAAGCCTCTGCTGCCTAACAGCCCCTAATAGCCAAGTGAGGTGGATCCCTCATAGATGAATTACTATTTCCATTTGGCCCATGAAAAACTTGACCCAATCAGAGAGGCTGTATGATTTGGGGAAAATCACAAAGCTAATAGTCTGCCACAGTGACTCATGTGCTTCAGATACGTTCTTCAGATACTGCTGAGGGCTCCATCTCTGACTCCCAAGCCCCTAGAGACAGTCTAACCTCCTCCTCCTGTGTTCTGATTGCCCCAGTGAGCAGCCTGCCCATACCTAGTAGTGCTCAATGAGACCAATATGCTGGATGGGCACAGCTTGCAAGCACAACCTCAGCTGGAGACAGCAAGCCTGGGAAATGTGCTATTTGCCAGCTGCCCCTTCCTGAGGGAGAGAGGCACAGAGGAGACAAAGGTGGGGAGCCAGGGAGCACCTGATCCCAGATTCTGTCGGGTTCTCAGGCCAAGAGAGGCTTAGCTGTGCTGTGCCACTCTATGGCCCAAGGCAGCAGTGACATGCCACTGACCCAAAGTTTTGCAGGCTCCCAATTCCATAGCCTTCTCCTCAAACTTAGAAGCTGGAGGCTTCTAAGAGTTCAGAGGGACAAGACCACAGGCTACTGGTACCACAGGCTAGGGCTCTCTCTCCCCTTGTCCTTCCAGTCGTCTGCTTTCT